CAATGGTTTGTTGAATCGGATGCTGTGGCACGTATGATTTAATCTCCTGCATGCCCAGGGCCTACTGACATCTGAATGGCTTAACAGTGTTTTTGGGGAAGGCATTTAATCTGCAGAGTACATCTGCCCTGCTCTCTGAACTTTTCATGGAGTAGTTAAAACTTGTGGGTAGAAACACGTGCCTCACTCCTCCTTTGTTTTAGCCCAGCTTCACCTTCCTGTCTCTGCTTCTTGTCATCTCTTGGTGTTTTAGACTATTCATACCTGTTTCTCCTCCCCATGAAGGCACTAATGCACTGTGATTAAGTAGCCTCTCCATCTTGTTTTTGCTGAAGAACAAGGTTTTTATGGCTCTCACTGCATTTTCTCCAGCCTTTAAGTCAATTTTGTGGCTTTATTCTGCAGTAGGTCAATTTTTCAACATCTTCTAAAACATTTGTTCACAGAGGAAATTGATGTGATATTCCAGCATAGGTCCCACCAGTGCCATTTATAGAGGGGAAAATCACTGATTCCTATTCCCTGTCCCCCTTTTTGCACATCTAAAGATCAATTTAGGCCTTTTATACCATTAAATTGGGCTGGGTACACTTGTTGTTTGACTCAGACTTGCAGCTTTTCATGATGCAGTTCTCCATCCTGAATGTCAGTGTTCCCCATTCCCACTTCTTAGTCCTGCTTAGCTTTATGAAAAGAAGTTTTATGGGTCCCAGGCAGCCAGAGGAGCCAGCACCATATGTATGACTTCTTCAGGCCTCATTATCTTCCCCTTGGCTCATCTCCTTTTCCACAGGTCTGTGACTTGTGATTTATGTCAACATTTTCCTTCAAGAACTTCGGGAGAAGAGGATTCCCCCATTAGAAACACTCTGATAGTACCAAATTGAGAATTACCTGAGCAGATTGGATATTCCTCAATTAATCTGCCTTTTCTTAGCCCATTTAATATTTGCTGTCTGAATACTGTACCATGAGGAAGTTGAAGTGTTTTGTCACATGCTGTTGAAAATCTATTACCTTATCAATCAAATGTGTAATCCTGTCAGAGAATGAGATCGGCTTTGTGTGATACAGCCAATTTTCTAGAAAATCATTGTATTTCTTCTTATCCATTTGATTCATGATCACTTTAGTTAGATATCATCTTTCCATTTTTACTTGAGCTTGATGTCAGGTGAATGCCCTGTAATTACCCAGTCATTTCACTTGCCCTTTGATAACTGTCACATTATTGGCACTCTGAAATACCCCCATGTTATTAAAAATGAATGTCAGCAGGGCAGAGACTTCTGGGCTTTCTGGAGATGGTTATGTTAGGTTACTTCTGGAAATAAAAACCCCTTATCCAGTTGGGAAAGTCTCATATTCTCTCCAGGTAGTAAGCAGCCTGGACGTATTGATCTCCATAGGGGATACCTCTTGTCAAGCAGTAAACAGAAATATGAACCATTCCCAAGCTTACATTCCCAAGCTGCCACATTTCCACTCTTTAGTTTTCCCCAGAAAGGCTATGCGTGGCTTTTTTGTGATAGAATCAGAGAATGTTTGGGATTGAAAGGGACCTTAAAGATCATCTAGTCCCAGTCCCCTGCCACGGGCAGGGACACCTCCCACTGGACCAGGTTGCTCAAGGCCTTTCAAAGCTGCCTTTGAACACTGCCAGAACTGGGGCATCCACAACATCCCATGGCATCCTGTGCCAGTGTCTCACCACCCTCACAGGAAAGAATTCCTTCCCAATATCTAATCTAAATCTCCCTTCTTTCAACAGTTTTTGTCAAAGAGTGCCTGTCTGGATTCCCCCTTCAGTTACTGGAATGCTGCTATGAGGTGTCCTTGTAACCTCCTCCAGGCTCAACAGCCTCAGCTTTCTCAGCCTGAAATGTTCCAATGCATAAACAGGGAACTTGCAGAAAAGCTGGGCCTAAATTGAAATAGGTAAAATTGAAATTGATGTAACAAGTAATGGAGCACTGCATTCACTGGACACGAAAATATATAACTTAATAAAAGATGATCTCTTTTAATGGAAACAGCCACCAAAATTCCAGTGGGTTTGGCAGTTTAGGCTTGCTTTGTGAGAGCTGATTACTGTTTTTGTGGTAGAAGGACAGTGATTCTGGTGGAGCATCAGGCTTAGGATACTCTTAGAGTATTTGGTGTGTCCCCTTCCCTGTTCAATTCCCTGATCCTTATTTGGATGCTGTCCACCAGCACAGGGACATTGCATTAGAAATTAGGGATTGCTGAAGTTCCCAAGATGTGGAGAGGGATTGGCTCGTTTTTATCTGTAAGACCTATCTTTTATTAACATGTATTGTTTTTAATGAGGTGAGAAGCTGATGCTTCTGTAGGGATGTCACAGGTGACCTTATGTAGGGTGTCTGCTCTTTAGCCACAAAAATGTAGGAAAACATCACTGATGCTGGACAACACCAAAGGTTTGGTATTGCATTTTGCCAGTTTGAATCTTGCTGTGTAAGATCTGGGGTATGTATGAACTCCAAAGGATAAAGAACACTGCTGAAAACCAGCAGATGATGAAATTAAAAGCAGGAATACTTTCAAATCTTCATTGTACAGCCCACCACTAATGAAAAATGCAGAGGCAGATATGGCTTGATGGCACCACTGGAGCTTCCTTCTCCCAGGTAGTAACTGAGCCAAAACACTTAATTCTGTGTGTAAAGCTGCTGCCGACTGAAGTAGAATTTGTTTAGATAAAGGAAATTGGAATTTATTACTCTGTAAGAAATCTGCTAGCTAAACAGGACTTCCTGAAAGTAGTGTGTATTATCAAAAGAAAAAACACTGGTGACCAGCAAAGGGAGAGCTGTTTTTCATGGTAGTTTGCCACTCTGGTTTTTGTTTCCACGCTTCCAGAGCTCGGCTGAGGAGCCCACAATGTCAGCTCTTGCTCTCATGAATTCTAACCTCAGCGAGTGTTTAATCATGCCTCAAACAGCTTGGCTTTTTGGAGGAAAAATGGTGGTTTTGTTCTGGTATTGCTGTCCAGCTCAGTGTAATGAGTGATGGGAACACCGTGCCTGGGATGCATCCATCTGCTTCCCTCCAGACCATTTTCTTTCTGGCCTTTTCTGCAGTCTAAAGTTATCAACCCAGAACACTCGCTGATGATGGGAACTTAGTGCTGCCTTCCTGTACGTGCAGGCATCTCTGCCTCAGCTGAACGCAAGCTTCTGTTTTTGAGCTGACTTAAAATGGGAAAAAAGACATTAAGGGGTGAGCTTAAGGGTCTCATCCAATTTAAAAGGCTTGTATTAGCATGACAAGTTAAAAACATCCAAGTAGATACAGAGTCAGTGTCTTCTTACAGACCTGGCCCAGGCTGCAGCCTGCCAAGTCCTGACTGCATATGCTGTGTGCAGTTTCATTTGATATATTACACCATGTCACCTTTTTTCAGTGGGGACAGAGCAGCAGTGTGGTTCTGAGACCATGGCCTTGCATTGGAAACAGCAGAGAAAAGCTTTGGGATCTGTTCCCTTTTTCCCAGACAAATTCTTCACGAGAAGCCAGGAGGGTGGTCGAGTACCTGAAGCCACTTGTGCCTGTTCCATCTCTGCTGGTTGAACAGAGTTGTGCTGGTGGAGCCGGGCGGGAGCAGCTGCTCTCCTGGCTGATCCCTGCAGCTGCAGAACGCGGCTTTTTCTGGGTGTTGGTTTGTCTGGACCCCTCCAAGGGCAAGCTGGAGTGTACCCAGCGCTCTTAATTAGCTGCTGCAGTTACACTGTGCTAAGCTCAGCCTCAACACCTACCTGCAGTTAATTAGAAGATGGGGTTGCTGAGGTTTTATTAGTACAGTGTGTTTGCTGCTAGATGAAACAACGGGAGAAAGGGGGATGACTTGTGTAAATTGTCAGGGGTGGGTGATTACCTGAATGCAGTGAGCAGCCCCGCTTGGAGATCGCTCTCCTTCCCCCCTGAATTTCTTAAAGCTTTTAAGAAGAAAAATCTCTGAGCAGATATGTGCATATGATTCATTTGGCATAAGCACTCAGCCAACTTCCAAGAAGGGTACTAAAATAATTTCCACATACAAGTAAAGTAAATAGTCTGTGTCTTGTTCATCCTACCAAGTATTATTGACTAGTGCTGAGTAAGAGATCCGTGCAGAGCCTTGATGAAAGGTTGGCAACTCACCCCACTTGGTCTGGATTATTGCAGCATGGTTTTGTAATATTGAATTGCAAGGCTTTTAGTAATCTTCATAGGCTGTTCAACCTCAGCCACTAAGCCTAAACTAAAATGTTTAAAAACTGCAGTTCACGCTCTTAAATACTCTGTAAGAACTGGAGACAATTTCAATAAATGTTAGGCTCTTTCTGTTAATGTGCAGAACAGAAATTACCTCCTCAGATCCGGCTGAAATGTTCCACTGTGGTGGTATTTGAGACTAGTTATATTTGGCTCATCTTTGTTCCATATCCAGTTTTACAACTACCAGATGACACCCTAATGAAACATCAAAGAAGCCATGAACGGTTGCATGGAATTGCTCTCTGAACGATGTATCCAGTGAGGTACACAGCTCCCACACTGGATACGAAGGAATTTTGACCTTAGGGCAAATGTAGCTTTCATCTTTTAGACATTGCAGCAGCAGTGCAGCACAAATTTTTGCTTTCATTAAAAAAAATAAAATGCTGTTTATCAGGGTATTTTTAAAGATCGTTTCCTATACTATCTTGAGCCCTTCTGTTCTTTACTTAATAGTACAATTGGGAAAATAGATGAACAAAAGACAGTGCTTCTGCATAAAATCTAAAATTACTTCTAAGAGATTTTTTCTGAAATGAGAATGAAAACACTTTGGAAGCTTCTGAGTGTTTAAGTATTAGCAATAAATTTTTGGATTTGCAAGAGAAACTAGATGGAATGAATTTTCATTCCTGGCTGGGTTGAAACATGAAGTCCCCATTTGTGCAGTGTTTTTCCTCGATCAATCATGACAAAATTAATCCAATCTGGATGCTGAATCTAGATCTATAAATATATTTATTATAATATAACAAGAACTTAACAGTAAACATAAACTATATACAATACCATTACAGATAACCCTGTTTTTAATATTATTCACAGAAATAGCCAGTTTTGTTCCAGTGTGAGAAATGAAGAAATAAGCTAAATTGAAAATGTCGAATGTGTTTCAGTCTTGTTGACAGGTAGCACCTCCTTTGGAGGTAGACACACACCAACACTAAAATTAGTCCTGCCCCAGGCAGTTAGAAACTTGTGCTCCAATCTTTAGGTTCACACTTGCACCCTGTTTGACATAAATACTTTAAATGGCATACTAGTATATAATTTTGTTGTGCTTATTATTTTTCTTTAAAGAATAAATAAAACAACTGCATAACAAAGGCTGGAACCTCACTGTCAAAATGAGAGGCTTGAGTCACCCTATAGCTTGACTCAGCTGACTCGAGCACAATTTCTTTAAATACTGCAAGATACAAATGTCTTTGTTTTTTTTTTAATTTTATTTTATAAATGGTTATTAATAAAATAAGATGATTAGCTAAACATCTGCATTGATTTCCCCAAAGCTGTAGGCAGACCTCCCTTCATATAAAAAGGCTACTGTATTTGGTATGAAATTCAACTAGATATTGAATGCAAGATCTCACCCACACCCTGTACAGGACTCTCCTTCTTGAATTACTGGTATGGCATTTGGGATTTGAGTCTGCAAAGGCAAGTATGGCAACTTTTTTCCCCCTACTTGGAAGGAAACCAGACAATCCTTAGCTTGGGGTTACTTTCTACTGCTGAATTTTAAGATTCTTTTCCCTGCCCCCTCTATGTTACCCAGTCCATCTCCCATTTGTTCCTTTTATGTATAAATTTATAAAGAATTTCCACATCACAATGCTCTCTGGATAGACAATATTTTAATATATATAAAAATATAACCCCTGTGCTGTGCATATACGTACAACTCTACATAGTAATAATTTGAAGTCTCTTACACTGGGCTTAAGTCTATGCATTTTTCTACCATGGGCTTTAAACTCATGTGTTTAGAATCTGTAAATAAGAAGTATAAGGCTTCCACACCTAGGGAAGGAATTTGAAAATAAAGTAAAATAAAAAACTTCTCAGCCTTTACATAAAAGATAGTGGCGTGTATCCCGACGTAAGGAATTTTGGTTGAGAGCCAAAACCAAGTGTGTAGCCACAGGAGGCATCTTCTGTGTTTGATGAAGACGTGGCAAACCCACCCTATGCTGTGCATTTTACTGTGATTCCAGCCAGAAGTGAAGAGTGGGTTTATCAGGAGAATGCCTCTGGAATCCACACAGTTTCCATTTTGCACTGAGGGAATTCAGCACTGCCAAGTGCATCAGCAGAAACCCAGAGGAAAAGGTTTAGAATCCCCCCCACCCCCACATGAGAATCACCAGGAGCAGAAACTCATCCAGCCCAACAGACCTTTTGTTTTCATCATTTTACATGGAATTTATTACCAATGGCTATTCTTCTTCTCCCTAGTCCCCACCTCACCCTGCTTTTGGGCTCTTCTCTAGAGAACTGAAATATTTGTTTGATCTGATGGAAGACTGACATCAACATAAGCCATCTGTCACACAAAATTTCTCTCAGTCATTGGTATTGAAAAGCATGTATTAGAACCAAATGTAGGAATCAAAGTGGTAAGGACACTTTGACCTTTCAAATAGACTGATGCCTAAAGTGTAATAGTAAAACTAATCTGCATGGTTATTTCAAGAATCAAGCTTGAGCTCTAAAGTAAAATGCAGATTATTTTTTTCCTCTCTTCCCCAGCTTAAAAAATATGAGAAATTCTATTGCACCTGGGTTGACCAAAAGCCGATGTCCAGAACAAGTGCCACTATAACATCTAGTGACACCCTTGCATTATTAAGTTACAATATCTTACATAGCACGGAGCTCTCTGCTCCTTGTTCACCAAAAGGTGAGGATGATTTTTCTACATTCAATGTAGACACTATTCAAGACCTTAGAGCAATATGTTCACTGGCTGGCTTTGCTGCTTTTGTTCCTTAAGTAACTATTCTTCTTGCCTGCTTTCAGCAGGTACAAACAGTTCTCCATCCGACTCCTGGGGAACATCAGCCGCTCTGAATGTACTTCTTGATTGCTACGCAGCCGTGTCGGAAAACGGGGCAGGGCATATTTGGTAGAAGTGTCCACGTGTTTGTTTTAGGGTCGTAGGCTTCCATGTTTCCCAGGGCAGGTCCTTCGCTGCTGACAATCCCACCAGTAGCATAGATTTTTCCATCCAGAACCACAGCACTGTGTTTTTCAAACAAAGAAAAAGTTAAGAGTTAGTTGTCTTACTGAGTAATTTTCTTTTTAGCTTAAAACAAACCCAGTCTTTTATAACAATGGACAAACAATGAATACACCTTTTGTTCTTATCTGTATAAAGCTGTGTGGGCATTTCTCTTCTCTCTCCCCTTCTCTCTCCCCAAAATTAATCCTTTTTGTGTTCCTGCCAGGTAGGTAACTGTTGTCTCTAATGTAAACAACAGATAAAAGTCCAAGTAAGATCCTTCTCCAGCCCACACATGGGATCTGCAGCAAAAGCAGCAGGGTGCTGTGTCCCTGTAATACTGTGCATATGCAAAACCAATCCAAACAATTTGGGGTTCCCGCCACTTCAGCTGGAATAAGCTCTTGCTTCAAGTTACTTCTTTAATTGTTAATGAATTAAAAATGGGGGTACAAAATGGGGGGTAAAAATCTTCAAGGAGGTTCTGTTGCTTCAGCCCCTTCCATGGTTGTGTCCTGGCATGGGGTCCTGGAGATCCTGCTGACTTTGTCCTTGTACACCCCAGAGCTGTCCATGGGAAAGTGGATCTGGGGCACAGAGATCTGGGGCTGTGCGGCTGAGGGAATGCCAGGGCAGCTCTTTGTTGGCATCTAAAGAAGACAAAAGACCTTACTGCTTTCCTAAAGTGAAAGTGTTGGCCTTCAGATACCTTGAAGAATAATGGGGCTGGGCTAATCCCATGGTCCACAGGCTCCTGGTAAGAGGGAAGGTGCACAGGTGTGGAAGGTATTTGAAAGAAAAATTGTCCCTTGCTCTCATGTCTTCCTTCTGCTTTATGCCTTGGCCTCTTGAGCAGTGGTGCACACAGCAGGACACTGCTTTGGGTTGATGAAGATGGGGCTGAGCTCCCATGTGTGCATTTGGGAATGGCAGAGGCATGGGTGGGAAAAGCCAATGCAGGGCCTGCCGTGTGCTCCGTGCCGCCTTCGCACTGCGTGGGGGGAACCCAAAATTGGGGCCATCTGCTTTTCATCTGCCAGGAAGCCCAATTTTGCCTTCCAAGTTGATTTAAAGATGTTGTTATCCTGGATGGGATTGGCAGTGGCTTTTCTGGCAGCTGGGTCCATTTGGAGAGCAGCTGATGAATGATTGCATTGGGAAGGAAAAGGGAGACTCAGAGAGTATGTACCTGGCAAAGGATAGCAGGGAGAACAAGAGGGAAGATAAGAAACTAATTGCAACCAAGAAGGCAGCCTAGATCTAATAAGGTGGAAAAGTTTAGTGGTCTTCTAGGCTTGGTAAAAGCAAAGTAATTTTGTCTGGCTAATTTTGAAGTACTGGGAAGAGGAAAGATAAAAAGTGATAAAGGCAAAAGCCAGAGTGCTGGAAGACACAGGATGAACTGAGACTAAAATGGCACCGACAATGCCACGTGCTTCTGAAGAACACAAGACTCTGATGTCCTTGTGGAGAAGCTGAGCCTGAGGTTAAAAATAAACTCACAATGACAACAGTGAGGACTCAAATAAGCCTAGTCCCTGGGTACCGCCAGGAAATAGAAAATAATGAGAATCTTGTCAAAATAACTGTTAATCTGAAAGGAGGAGGAAGGAGAGGGAGACTTGAAACATTTGATTAGAGCCTATCCACAAATCAGCAGGGCTGGATGATGCATAGCCCAGGCTCCTGAGGGAATTTGCTAATGAACTTACTGAACCACGGGTAATTATTTTTCAAACGTCAGGGAGAAATGGGGAAGAATACGGACTTGAGTAAAGCATGTGACATCCTGAAAGATGGCTTTGAAAGAGAAGGAGCTCACCTCCAAAGGAGCCAGAGCTGGTGGCAGAGAGGCACTGCTGGCAGGAACTCCTGCCATGGCTCAGTCCCTATGCCCAGGAGGAGGCAGAGGTGGCAGGACCAGCTGACCCAGTAAATCAGAGAAATGTGCTAATTAAACAACAGTTTTGGACTTAGGATATTTGCTGAGGGGTGGAAAGCCCATCTCTGGATAGGAACAAGTTACTTTTTACGCAGGCTGGGAATTTCAGCTTGCAAAATCTGGCCTGAGGAGGGGGAAGGATTGCCCCACCCCAGGCTCCTGAGGAGGTGGAGGGGCTATTGAAACGAGCAGAATGAGAGTGGAGAGATGAGGCTCTCAGGTAGTGGTTGCTGGTTTTGTTTAACTGTTTTATTTTTTTTTTTTTTTTCTGGATTGTGAAGTTGAAGAAGATGGAAACTTATTTGTTTGGGATATGCTTTGGGATGTGGAAGAAGGTTTAATGTCAGAGATGGACTGAGGTACAAAGCAACTCTGCTGCCTTGATTCTCTAATGAAATGCTGATTACTGATTAAAACAGTACTCCTACACAATACTTGATGCAAAAAAGGAAATAAAAATTAAATGGGTTATCAGTTTTGTTGGGTTAAGTGGGAAAATGAAACAAACTCCAAAAGATCCCCAAAAAAAGATCTGTCTGAAGAACTATCAATAATGGGCAACTGAAACACGTATTAGTGTGGAGCATGGACAGGGGCTGGTTCCATCAGTGCTGATGATCAAGGTCTGCTGTCCATGAATGGCTTAGTTTTAATTTACTGGTGTGAACACGCTGGTGTAGATGGCAGCACCTCACACCAACACAGAAAGGATCTCAGCCCTCAGTCGCCACTGATGTACAAGGCTGGTCTCACTGCTCATTAACTGATGAAATTCCTCTGCATGAAGCTTTTGATCTGGATGGGAAGAATGGAATGACCAGAGGGAAGACTCTACAGGTGACCACAGGAACAGGAGCCAAGCAGCCACCAGCCCTTCCTTGCTGGCTCTGTGCTGCACAGCTGAAATCTGGCCTCAGGTGCTGGTGTTCCCTCAGGCATCTCATGTCAGGTCTCTAAACAGGGACCTGGGTGCTTTACAAATCTTGTGTCGCATCTTAGCCACCCACATTCCTTCTAGTGAGATCTTCCCTGTGGCATGTTTAGTAGGAGCTACTCTGAGCCAGAGCTGCTGGCACTGCAGAGCAGCTGAGCAGCCAAGGAAACTTCCTCAAAATGATCTGGGTCTGGGCTCCTCCCCAGCCCATGCTCTGGATTTGGGGTTACAGCGAGTGGGCAAGTGCTGCCCTTGTTCTCTGGAACCTGGGCTACAGCCCTGGAAAGAATTCCTGCCCAGAGCCTGGGACAAGCAGCTCAATCCTGTACCTTCCATCATGGTGCTAATATAGTGGGGAAGAAATGGATGCTGAATTCCACCCTCTGGAAGACTGTGTGAATTTTAAATGGTGATTAGAGCAACTTCTGCTCCCTCCCTATGCAATTACCATAGATAAGACTGGCATAATGCTTGTGAGTCATGCCTGAGGTTAAGCAAAGCAGCGAGCTGCCCCTGCCATGAAGAAATAGTGCTGAGCACACAGTGGGTCCTCATGAACAGGAACTTTGGAGATATTCACTCCTCTCTGGGGCTAAAGTGGTAGGTAGGTGCTTAAGATAATTAGGAATTTTATCCTAAATTGCTGCTACTTTGTAGTATTAGGAAAATCACTGCTAATTTCTGGGACCTGAGAGAACAGAAAACTCAAGTAGGTTCTAAAACCTTAAGAAAAGTGAGTGGAAAGGAGTATGCTCATTGCTCTTTCTTCTTTACTGTGACAATATTTCGTTTCTCCCCTCCCTTCCATCCCATCAGCTGTAAAAACATCGTTACCAAGGCTGACATACAAAGAAAGAAATAATTACAATAATTAGGATGCGAGTTTATTGCTTGGTGCCATTAATCCAGAGAGATAAAATGATTACAGGCTGTCAGAGCCTGGGAAGGCAGGAAGGAAGCTCTGTGCCAGAGAGCCTTGCTGCAGGGACACAAACCCTGATGACTTTGGGGCAGTGACTTCCCTGGCTGTGGAGCAGCCAGACCTCCACCTCTCCAGCAGAATGCCTGGGGAGAAGGTAATGGGCATCCAAATCCAGATCACTTCAGCCACTCCTTCAAAAAAAAAATTATTCAGCAAATTATTACTGTGCAGACTAATGAATGACCCAGCTTTCTACTCTGCAGGTAATTACTGCTGTTCACTAGAGAGGCTTCTCCTGCCCTGTGGCTGATTCTCCTGAGGTGCCTGGGCATCCTTCATTTCCCAAGCAATGCTCAGTGTCAGAGGATCATGCTGTGACTGTCCCCTGACACTGCCATGGGTCGACTGATCCATCTGCTGACCTCCATGAAGCTCTGGATCACACTCCCAGGAAAATCCCAATGAGGCTGAGGTGTGCCAAGGGCTGATGGGGACCTGACTGGTGTGCTTGTGTAATGTTAACACCCTTTACCTTTCTTCCCTGCCTATCCACCTTTCAGTCCTTGCCCAGGCTGATCAAATGGCAGAGAAGGTCCCTCTCTGACAGCTGCCTGTTAAAGGACTTGATGGACAAACTGAATCACTGAACCAAAAAAATCCAAGAACAGCCCAGGCAGGAAAGGACCTTGAAAGATCATCTGCTCCAACCTTTGTGGGAAAGGGGCACCAGATGAGATTATCTTGCATGCTGTCCAATCACATCCTGAAAACCTTTGCTGATGGGGACTCCACCACATCCCAGGGTTGGTGGGTGCCAGTGAATGACTGATCTCACTATAAGAAATTCTTGCATCACAATTATTGCATCATCTCTTTGTGCTGCTTTTACCTCTTGCCCCATTGTCTTCTCCCCATGGTTCCCTGTCAATAGAGAGCTTCCATCCTCCTTGTGGCTGCTCTTTTAGTGCTTGAATACTCTGTGAGGGTCCCCTGAGCCCTCTCTTTCCAGGAAGAAAATACTTTCAGTCTTCCCTCATCAGGCAGGCTCTCTAGCCCTTTGAACATCTTCACAACCCTCCTCTGGACCCTCTCCACTCTGTTTGTTTGTTGTTTTTTTTTTAACTGTGGGAACCAAAAGTGCTGCTGGACAAGACTTGAGTAGAGCAAGAAGACAAAAGTCTCCTGATGGGCAGTAAGATTTGGAAGTGGAGGATGCCACTGT